GTAGCGATGCACTTGTTCCTAGTAGCTTATTGTTTCTAATTGAATTACTGTTTCTAATAGCTTCTTGTTACTACTAGTAAGGTGCACTTGTTCCTAGTAGCTTATTGTTTGCGACTTACTGTAAGTTTATGTTCCAGGACAAAGCCGATGCTCAGCCGAAGACTAGTGCCTCCCATGTGGAGGCTTGCTCACGGCAGTTGAAGAACGAAAGCAGCAAGCGATGTCAGTAGGTCCATCAGTAGGTCCATCTCGTTGGAATAGCGAGTAGCAAAGTGGATTTGTTCTTTTTCTTTGCAACCTTAATCCACCGTTGTGAGCTGAATGGTGAGAGATCCAAATAGTATGTGTCAGGTGGAACCAGAGCCGGAGACCAAAGAGCAGGCTGGTCTTTGAGATCTGAACAGCGGCCAAAACAAGAATCAAACAGACTCATTGAATTCTCCTAAGAGGTCAACTCGCATTCTCTTGCCACCCATGTGATGAGGAAACACCCCAGCAAAGCTGCGAGAACTCGCACCGTCCAAGCCGCTTGTAGCTACTAAAGGCCGCAGTTGTGCCTTTAGCAGGAGGAACTACCCTCAGCTTGGCCTTTGTGTAAAGGAGCTGAGCAACACCAAAAAAGGAAAAACGGCTTACCCAGAGATACCAAGAACCAATTTGTCAGGTACTGAGCCACTCGCAGGGCTGATTGGGATGTCGTGGGTTATATAGCATCTCAATGCCTCAACGGGACCCTCAGATGACCTGCACCTTGCTGCATGCAGGTTCAAAAGGGGCCCTACATCTTCGCCTCATGCCATGAGGATGTGCTGGAGTACCTCCAGCCACAATACGTGTGCTTATGCCTTCCGGGCTCCGCCCCACGACTGCTCAAAAACCCTCATGAGGGGCAGCTGCCGTCACTGCATGCGACCATCACAGGGGTGACCGAGCCCATTGGGCATCACCTGGTTGGAAGCTGGATGCCCAAGAACAAGAAGATTCAACCTTTCCTCATCACGCACAAGGCGCCTTCGGAATGCATTCGTGTTTCTCTCTTTTTTTCTCCGCGATGGAACTGAAAACGAAGAATTGAGCCGAAGTTCCCATGTCACAGATGTCACGGGCCTGCAAGAGCTTACTACAAGAGAAACTGTATGTTAAAAACTACTCTCCTGTGTACAGGTGATTGTAGTATGCACGCTTGAAGCTACTGACATGTGAATAAGTCCCTGCCTAGTACGAGATTCGTTGGGTCATCCCGCTTGGCGTCGAGTTCGGCTGCTCAGGCCAGTGTGAAGCCGAACCAATTCACGGTGTTTTTTGAGGGAGGTGGCAAGATTGTCGCTTGTCGCCATTGAGGGCTTTGGACATGTTCTAGTGTCGGCCAGAGAATTTTGCTTGTGTTGAGTGGAACTGGAACCTGCTGCGGAAGGTGAAGCGTGCACGAAATACAAAGCCCCCAAAAGCAGTTTGCAAGCTGCTTCTATTTGGTTGGAGGCTACAAACTTTACAGAATAATGTGTCATGCAGTTGTCATGATAGATCTCATTCGAGTTCGGGGATCCCTAAGATTCCTTTTTGCGGTGCTTCATGGGGTCCGTGTTGGGGCCGAGGCTTGGCTTGGACAAGAAGCCGACGGGACCTTTGTGGGTCAAGCGCCCAGCATCCACATCTAATTAAGAATTGTATAGGAAGTTCATTTTTAGTATCATTCATACATTATATATAGTCAGTATAATGTATACTGTATATCATAGATTTGGCGCGACTGAAGTGAATTCCTTCCTTTTTGCTCCCAAGAGCAGGGGGGCAACTGCCTGCAGCCGTCTCCTTCCGCGAGTGTTTGTTGTTTGTTGCACAGGTCCACCTGCACTGAGGCAGTGGCAAAATCATGGGTACGACGAAGACGATGCGAATCACATCGCTAAGCCCCTATGAGCTGAGTCTTGAGCTCGACAAGGGAGAACCCGTGAAGGCACCATCAAGTGCGGTCAGAGGGTTTGATGTCATTGAGCCCTGAGTTCTTCGACAAGAATCACGTCAGCGATTCAAGGTTAGCTGTTTGAGGTCCCCACATCAGTACCGATATACCATGACAAGTACCATCATATACCTCGCAGACGCTTGTGAACTCAACGGCGATATCCGAAGCCCCAGGGCCGATGCTTTCGAGCCTCACCGGGGCTTGTCCGACCTGCCTCTCCCCAGGCGGAGCGACGGCGCATGCCGGCGAGCCATCAAATCCATGCCCTCACGGCCGACCCGGAGGAGTCGGTAAAGGCGACCAGATCCATGGCATGGAAGGTGGCACTGGGGTAGGTGTTTCCCCTTCCCGGGGGGTTTCCCCTTCCTGAAATGGTGTTGTTCCTTCCCGCATAGGTGTTTTCCTTTCCATGGGTGTTTTTCCTTCCCGGAGTGTTTTTCGTTCCCTACAAAATGTTTTTTCCTTCCCTTGTTGATCTTATTGTGCTGGTATATCGCCAAGTTCTAATACTCGCTTGGTTTTCAATTGAATCTCCAACTGAAGCCAAATTTGCAAAGGCTTCTGCGAAACAGCACCCAAAGCGGTAATGCACCGAACGTCGCAAGATCGACGGAAAAAACATTGGCTAAAATCAAGGGTTGTTCTTTGGCGCCAGCTCTTTTTACCATAGTTAGTACACATGCTTCGCCTGACAGCGTCCGCAAACTCAAACATAGAACCAAACAAAGAAAGACATGTATAAACAACTTCGACTGTTGCATTGTGAGCGCATGTCACCCATGTATACAAAAGACGGCTTGTTGAACAACAAAATCTCAAATGTAGCGATGTAATGTCTTCCCGCCTGTGTCTTATATCTGTGCTACGAAACGTCACGCGCTAAAGGTGTCAAATGTGAAAACCTTGCCACATCAACTTTTTAGACCATGTAAACACAAAATTGAAAGCTTAAAAGGTCTAAATGTAACGTTTTTACCTCTGAGCTCTGCATAGTTCAGACAGGATAGATCAAACGAGCGAAACTTAGACCGTTTCTTCTCCTTGTGCCCTTTCCTTTCTTTTCATTTCCTATTTCTTCGATAGCCGGCCGCAAGCTAGACTTTGGAAACAATACACACTTTCTAGGGAAAAATAAACACCCTTTCACTTTTTCATACAAACCCGGAACGCTGGGAACAATACACACCTTTCAGGGAACAATAAACAGCAGCGGCCCCACAAAACACATTCAGGGCCTGAAAAACACCAGCCGGGCACCAAAAACACCGCGGCGTACGGGAACGAAAAACACCAAAAACTCCCAGGGAAGGAAAAACACCCGAGCAGGAAGCCAACACCTCCCGGGAAGGGAAAACACCATTCAGGGAACGAAAAGCCCGTAGCCCGTGGCACTGCATTGAAGCGGGGGGGCGTCCCAGTAGCCAAGAAGAGAGGATTGTCATTGATTATACAACTTTGGGGTAAAGTTGGTAAAGGATAACAGTAAAGGCCGTTACTTACCATCATCATAAACGTTACTGGTAATGGATGATATATCCAAGGACTATGGATGAATATGGTGGAATGGTCGAAATGAAGAAACCGGAATGACCTTTCACCCGTGTGGGTTTGGACTTTTGGTATAGGTGTCACCGCGGCCTGCCACAGAAGTCACCAGTTTGAGACATGACGGCTTTACTTGCACAGGTTGGCAACTGGTGTTTGGGAATATCCTTTTCCCTAGCTGACCTGATGGTACATGACCATCCTTGCGTATTCAATGCTGGCACAAGCCCTCTCTTGAGAGCTTTCGAACGAAGTTGCTCTATAGTTGCAATTGAACAGGAACACCAATGTTTTCTCATATTTCTCAAGCATGTTCAAAGTGATTGATTGGCATGTCAAACTTCCGTATGACTCACCTGCTTGAATGTCAGAGACGTCCCAATCCACTGCGAAACAGAGAGTCAAAGCTTGGGCCGAGGAGGGTGCTCTTTGGACTATGCCCAGTGCAGACGTGAACCTTGATCCAATTGATGCCATTCGATGCCATTCAATTTGTTTGAGCAGTCGTTTCCATTCGTTTACTATTGGTTGGTTGATTATATAGTAGGATAGTAGGGGGATGCCACCCCCATGAGCAACCAACAGGTTGTTATGGTACCAACTCGACCCCCCTATTATTCCCAAAAGGACATCATGGGTTTTTTGTAGAGCTCCAGCTGGCGAGTCGCGGCGAGTGTCCTTGTTCCCGTCTCGGCCGCTGGTCGCCGGATTTGGCCATCTCGCGAGGTTTGTCATCTTGTCATGTCACTTCCCGTGCCAGTTGCAAACCGATCTTCAGTGGAATCTGGTTGCCTTGCCGTGGTTCAACTGTGTTGCTCAGGACTATCTTGAGGCCAGCGGGTGGTATTTGCCAGATATCGCCATGGGCTCGAGCGACTCGAGCCGCTACAAAGGGCTGAGCCTCGGATGAAGAAGATTCTTCTTCAGATGTGCAGCAGTTGCGACTTGGGGGTTCTCACAATTTGAACATATGATGGCGTGACGTTCACAAGTCACAGCTCAGCACGCATTTGTGCTGGTGGTTCCAGTGATGTGCATATATACTGTACTGTAGATATATTGTATATAAGTGTAAGGGATGGGTCTTCAACCTCGCGCAGACTGGTCTCCAAGGTCTTTGGGTCAGTCACACTCCGTACGAACGGTGGATTTCCGCCCTGATGCGCGCCTGGAAAAGGCGAGAATGGTTCTTGGTCACATGGATGTTTAAGCGAGTTGTTCCCCGTCGCCTTTCGAACGGGTGAATGGATGCAGGTGGACAACGACCAGCGGTACCTGGCCAGCTACGTGGGGCTGGGGCCGAAGCTGGCGAATGTCGCGAAGTTGTTCCTGGTCGAAGCAAAACGGGTGCTCTACGGGTCGGCTCCACCGGGAGTCGGAGCTTAGCTGGAACTGGATTCCGGATGGGCTGATTCCGTGACGCATGTGTGGTTGCAAAAATGAACTTTAAATTACTAAGAGCAGTTTCAGAGTGGTTTCAGAGTAGATGGCACAACCCCCCAAGACATATATAATCATATCTGTATATTGTAGTGTTTGAATGTACATGGAAGTGTACCTAGAAATGTGTTATGGAATGATAGTATGCTTCGTTGTCGCCCTGTTGTTCATTTTTTTTATCGCTTTTCTCCTTGCCCATTGCTCTTCCCTTCTCCTTTCCCTTCTCCTTCCGTTTCTCTTTTACCATCACTTTTCTTTGGTTGTTGTTCCTTTTCTCTTCCTTGGCCTTGCCCTTTCCTTTCCCTTCCACTTGAATCCTTTATCCATTCCCACCACCTGCCTTTCCCTGCTTCCCTTTTGTTCCATTCCCCTGCTTCCCTTCCCTTCCATTCTGCGCTTTGCTTTCCTTGTCTTTCCTTTTTAGTTCCCTTCCCTTCCCTTCCCTTTGTTTCTGCATTCACTGTGCCTTCTCATGTTTTTTTTCGCCCCTTCCTCTCCGTATTGCCCGTTTCCGGACACTCTTCCACGTACTTCTTCCAGGTGGATGTACCAGCAGGAAAAATTGTGGCACTTGTAGCTGCGAACCGTGGATAGAATGTGGGTTTTCTTGGTTGTTTGGCGTTCAACGCGTGCTCAAGCTTTTACTTTTGCATTCTATCCCCAACTCTGTGACCAGGTATGCTGCCTTGTTCTTGTTCAATGTTCCATTTCCTCTTCGCTTGTCCCTTTCTCTGCCCTTCTTTTTTCCTTTGCTTTCTCGTTTCCTTTTGCCTTCAGTTCTGCCTTGTCCCTTTCCTTTCCCTTTCCTTTTCCTTTCGTGCTTTGTCCATCCCTTTTCCTTTGTTTGCCCTGTTCCTTTCTCCATTGTAGTGTTCCCCCTTCCCCTTTCTTTGCCTTCTCTCCCTTCTTTGTACCTCTTCTCCTCACCGTTTATGTCATTAGTCCGGGGTCCAGAGGCAAGGTAGCAAGGCATTCCACGTACTTTGAACTTTCCTCGAAATGGCCAGCAGAATTGTCGTATGTAGAGGAAGACTACTGACTACAAGATATTCGACGCTCAGGACATAGACATGTGCACTTCCCGCATTCAGTTTTACTATTGGCAGTAGTTTACTACTGTATGATTTCGGAGGCCCAGAGAGTTTGAGCAATTGACCTTGTAGATTACTATTGTGGTGTGAGTCTTGTAGAAAGAACATACTGTATATCACAGATGGTCGCCCCAGCACATTTACGTATACATATATATATATATATACTACACACATCCATGGACCTAACCTCGAACTTTCTCACCATTGCTTGAAGGTTGGACATCCCATTCATGGGATTGGTCACCCATCGGCTGGACAACTTGCCATTGCATGGAGGGTTCGCACTGGGCGTCATCACAGGCCCATCAGGAAGCGGCGCCTAGGCCCTAGTGACACTCCCTGAAATAAGCATGGAAGTGGTAAAATGGCTCCCTGGATGACCATTTTCGTCCGCAACCAGGTGGTTTTCCACTTCCATGATGACTTCAGGGAGTGTAGGCGTGTTGGGCGGACGGGCAAGTTCAGCATCCCTCAGAGGCACTTGAGACATCACAAGTCCGTAGGGAATCGATTTGTTCAGAGCCCGACGAGTTCAACTTTCACTGCAGCACAAGCGCTGCAGCACTGCAGCGCCCTTTGAACCAAGGCAAAGGAACTCTCGCAAGAGACAAGTTTGGGCCAAGCCCAAAGATTGAGTGGCCACTCGGCATCCAAAAAAGGATCCACCAAGAATGCTTCACCATGCGTGATGACTGTCAGAGAGAAGACTCTACCGAGAGAGATTTCATAGAATTGCTATTGGTTCAAGTGCTTTGTTGACCTTGTTTTCATGCGTCATGTACGTTGAGGGTTTGCCGCGGGTGCTTTACGGTCTCACACCGTTGGATTTACAACACCCAGGTCACGTGATCCCGTCATCGCACACTTCGTCTCCTTGGACGCTGCGACGGACCTACTCCAAGCGGCCAGCCTGGATTTGCTCACGGCCATGCGCCCGTATGAGACGCTGAGTGCCGGTGAGCAGGTGGGACGACGCACGACGCAAACGTGCAACGACACGGCAATGTCAGGAACATTGGTTCAACATGGTTCAACTATGTTGACCACACTGACGTACTCATTCAAGAAGCTATTGACATTCTATGTGTGCCTCTCTTTGCGATTGGAGGCCCGCGCGGACATGGCTCGTGTTCTGGCACTCGGTGTGAACTCATGCAAAGTCTTGATCCTTGACGAGTTCACATCTTTGGTCGACCGTGCCACGGCCATGAAGATGGCAAAAGGATTGCAGCAGCTCATCAACCAGAGGACCCCACCAAGACCTCGGCCGGCGCACCTGCATGTCTATAACTTACAGCAGTGAAGCAGAGGATTCATTTTCATGTAAACTGCCCGGTGGTACTACACAGGGGACCCATTCAAATAAAATAGTTGCATCATGTTGCATACATGTTTGTTTACATCAGTTCGCTCGGTGCATGCCCTAGGCCCTACTTGCTCGAATCCGGGAAATGATCATGTTAATAATAAATGATCATAAATGATCCACACTACCCGCGGTTCGCTCGCCAGCTCTTGTGAGAGTTTGTCAGGAAGCTCCAGGCGCCCATTGTCGTCGTCAGTTGCCACAGCGATTTTGTGCGAAAGACGCACGGCCTGAATTTTTGGACGCTTTCGGGACCTGAATCCAGGTGTGACTTTCAGCTCAAGGCCCGACTCAACCCCCCATTCATTTGGGGTCCTTTCCACAAACATATTGTGCGGCAGAGGGCAACATTAAATTGTCGGCCAAGATTTGCACATACATAATTACTGTATATAACATTATCCATGTTTATCATTTACCATATTGTGCCATCAAGAAATGATCCAATTGAGCTTAACGGACCCCCCTGTTAGGGTCCGGGTAAGGGTATTGGTTTCCATGACTCCCCTCTTCTAGAGATCATTTGAGATCCAAAATGTCCGGTCCTCACTGTCCAGTTTCATTGGGTGTGTCCCTGCACCGGACGGAAACCACCGGAGGGGCCAACAAAAGCGGCCAGAAACGAGTCCACATGTCATGTTGAATTCCTAAGTGCATTCCACCGTGTGAGTGGCTAACTTTTTAACACTTTGAACCTGCCTGGGGCATCAATTGTCGTCAAACGAACAGGTGCCAAGCTGTTACTTTCCAGGAAAGGTCGAGGGGTCAAATTAAGCCATGCAGCTCTACGTCGCGGTTCCGCTCACATCTCAGGGTCTCAGGATGTCTCACGTTGTCTCAGCTCCGATGCGCAGCTGAGAAAGCCTTTTGAGGTCGGTGTTGGAGCCTGACTGGATCTTTGAGACCCACAACCACCGTGAGATGCTCAGAACGGCAAAAGGGAAAGCATCATCAGGATCCCTGTGTGTGTGCGTGTTTCAAAAACAGGGCTTGAAGAGAAGAGATTGTAGATGAGAAGATGCGAGAGGACAAGGGGACTCAGTGTTGCTACTTAGATTTGCGATTTGTGGAGCCTTTCGCACCCAAGATAGGCTAGCCAGGCCAGCCAGTCAGAGAGTTCGTGTGTTTTGCTCAGGCCTTTTCACCGCGCAAGTCCCAGAACAACCAGAACCTGAAATTCAAGAAGGCAAGAAGAAGCTGGAGGAGACGTTTGGTGTTTTTTTTGCTTGTTAGTTGGCCTTCCGATGACGGCGTGAGTGACATGTGAGTGACTTGCCAGAGCTGACAGGAAGCTGTTGAGAACAAGTGCAAGGCAGAGAAGGAAATGGAAGCGTTCAAGAGTTTCATGCTTCAACACGCAGGCGCTAATGTTAAGCAGTTGGGTGCACCAGAAGCTTCCAACTCCCCGAGAGATTTGACAGAGTTTGACGTTTGAGATTTGTGTGTAGTTATGCTTACGATATCCAATATGCTGCCTTTATATATTTGATTATAATATGACGTACACACATATATTGATTTATACACAGTTCAAAACAAGTTGCGTACTAATGGGGGCGTGTTGTGATGATTTCTCATGATTCATGATCAATCCAAAGTCACTCCAGAGACCTTGGCCCTACCAAAGAGATCTTTTCAAAGTTTTTGTTGTTCCTTGGCAGGCGGAAATTTAATGGTGAGTGTGTCTTGTTTTTCTTGCTTAAACTGTTTTGAACCAAGCCACCGGTTGGATTGTCCGTCACCCAGAAAGTCGTTGACTGCCCATCGACAGTGCCGCAAACATTCCAGAACAGCCAGAAACGCAATCGCAAAACGTCCAATATGGGGGCCTTAAAACATCCAGGAACTTTTCACAGGACTTCATGCTTTTTTTCACAGTACCCCTCTTTTTCTGTTCCTGCACTGCTCATTGTAAGAGACACAAATCCGAGTTCAGGTCATTACGCATGAACCGCAAGTATTCAGATGAGTTGATTGGATTTCATCCATGGGAAAAGTGTTTCAGGCCAATCCCGAGGCAAATGTATGCTGCTGGCACGAGATCATACTTGAGGATGTATGATAGAGCCATCACTTCAAACGCTCTCTAGAATTGAGGGTAACCCGATTTGACACCCAAAAGTTCTCAAGATGCCTCATTGAAGATATTTGGCCGGCAAGCTTAAGCACCCAGGGGGCCAGGCCGCCACCCACGTAGCCACACATGTGTCCGTACGGTCCGTGCTTCTCCACCACGTAGCCACCCCTGATCCTGTCCTCGCAGGTCATTCATTCTTCAGCAACGTCTACCGGAATGAGGTCTCCGCCTTCGTGGGCGCTTTGCAGGCTCCGGTCATGCGTGGAATTTCATGCGGTGGACTGTTGCGTAACGGGTGTGACTGCTGAAAGATGAAGCAGTTTGCGAAAACCCATGTTACTAATAGCTTCTTGTTACTAGTAGTAAGGCACTTGTTACTAGAAGCGATGCACTTGTTCCTCATAGCTTCTTGTTACCCAAATATCACCAAAGGGTCAAAGGTGTGGTGATCAGAAGGGGCACAAACTAAGACGCCATGATGGTCATCCAATCGTTCCACTTTGTGTGAACGAGAGAAAGCGGCAGAACGGAAGAAAATCCGTTTTGCCAGGTGTTGGGTCGACAAGAGCTTCTTGCCAGAGAAAAAGATGTTTTGCAATTTCAGCATGAGCTTCAAGAGCTGCAAGAAAAGGCGGCCACTGGGAGGAAAGAGATCACGATACAGGCCAGGGTTCTTTGAGTGCGTGTCGATCTACACTTTGGCGCGATTGGGGCCAATTGCTTTGTTTGCAGAGGGACATTTTTTGAGGTGTGTGTGTGTGTGTGTCAACCCCTGTCCACAGGGTTTTCCATAGGATTCCTTTACATCAGCAGGGGCAAGGCCTCCAGCGATGAACCTCGTCCAACGAAGCTAAATCGCTGGAGGGGAAGCGGATGGAGACGTCCATTCGTGTACCTGCTTGGAGACCGGTGATGCAAAACTTTTTGAACCTCTTGTTCTCGGCCCTTTGTGAGGTTTGTTTCCAGGTTCCAGGTCGTTTCTGCAGTAAAGTGCTAGTGCATCCGGAACTCAGCAAACTGATTGAATGCTCGACCCGTTGAGCTTTATATCTAAGTGTGTCTCAGCGGCATCGTCCCATTGTGGTGTGCCGTGTAATCCCTTCGGGGCGCGTCCCTCACTCCTTTCCGGAACGGTGAACATAAGCCAGCTTCTGATCACATGCTTCTACACGAGAATGCTGACAGAATACCGCCGGGTCCACGGATCTGGCCTTTACTGAGTAATTCCAGCCTCGGTATTCTGAGTAATTCATGCATCGGCTCCCTTTTACCCAGTTTCATTAGATAGATTTTTTGAGCTGCTTTCTCTCCTTCTTGCGTCTTCTCTTTCTAGGTCTTGTGTTCGTTGCTAGAGGTTTGTTAGGTTGTAAATGACGCCTTGTCAGTCTCAAGGGCGCGCCGGATTCGGCTTTCTGGCCAAGCGCCTTTCAACGCACCCCCACACCCCCACATCCCCTTTCTCTTGGTTTTCTTTCGTTTGTTCTGTTAGGCTTCTTCTTCATGTTTAGGCGCGTTTAGTCGATCCGCTACCCCACACACAACCCCCCCCGCTTTCGTTCTCTCCTGCCCTTTGTTTCTCTTTCTATGCCTCTCTCTCTTCTAGATGTTTTTTGGTTTGTACCCAGGTGTTTAAATCAAGTGTGCGCCGCGCGTGTACCGCTCTTCCTTTTGGAGCTGCTTTCCTTTCTTTATTCGATTTCTCTTTCTAGGTCTCTTGTTCGTTGCTAGAGGCTTGTCAGGTTGTAAACGAAGCCTTTTTGTCAAGTGTGCGCCGAATGTGTGTGAGCCAACCCCTGTTCCAAAGGGTTTTCCATAGGATCCCTTTACATCAGCAGGGGGCAAGGCCTGCAGCGATGAACCTTGTCCAAAGCTAAATCGCTGGAGGGGAAGCGGATGGAGAACTTTTTTGAACCTCTTGTTCTCGGCCCTTTATGAGGTTTGTTTCCAGGTTCCAGGTTGTTTCTGCAGCAAAGTGCTAGTGCATCCGGAACTCAGTAATTGATTGAATGCTCGGTCCGTTGAGCTTTATATATATAAAATATCAGCTTCTTCGTGTTGTTATTCTTTGGCTGTTCTTTTGCTTTCTTTGCTGCTTGTTTGTTTCTGACGTTTGCCTCTGCTTTTGCATTTTAAACCGGCTCATTTGTGTGTCTATTTGTTTGTTGCTTTGGTTGCTTTGATTGCTTTGCCGCTCTTGCTGCATTTTCTGATCTTGTTGCTTCTGTTGATTTTTGTTACTGTTTGGCCTACTGCGCTGCACGTGTTGCTGTTCGGTCTACTGCACTGCTGCGCAACTTGCACACACTCGTGCTTCGTCTATTTTTCCAAGTTACACAAACCCATATTGGACAGAGAAGCCTCAATGCTTTGCACACATGTATGCCATGGTTGTTTTGCGGTGTTGGTGGGATAAGACATTGGAGTACAGCACTGCTTACATGTGGTGCTCACAAGCCGCTAAGTGAGAGCGAGGAGCTTACGAGCCACCTGAGGGTCTAATTTAGAGGAGGTAGGGGCCACTCCAATGTAGCAGCCCTTCTGTGAGCCACCCGACAAAAAATAGAGGAGGAAGGGGCCAGAGGACAACATGTAGGAGGTAGGATCCTCCCGCGGGTAAAATTTAGAGGGGGAGGGGGCCATTCCGAGGTAGCAGACCTTTTGTGACCCCAAGGTAGCGGGACCTATTGTGGGCCACCCGAGGGTAAAATTTAGAAGGGGAAGGTGCCATTCCAATTTAGTAACATGCCTGTGTGCGCAACCCCAACAAACACCACCAAAATTGGAGAAACAAAAACCCATGACACAAGCAGCCGCACACAAAAACATCCAAGCACGCGCCCTTCCCCCAGCCTCCCTCCGGCGCCACCAAAACAACGTTTTTTTAATGTTAACCTCGCTCCACTGCACCGGTCACCAATGCGAAATCTGCACCACGTCTCCCAACTTTGCTTGTTACGACAGCTGTTACTCTTAAGTGTCAGCCCTGCTGCCGAATTTGTTTCTGTTTAAAGCTCAGCCACTCACCCGCCTTGTGTCCGCAGTGCATTTCCTTTTAAGGGAGATTAGGTTGTTGCAAGCAGCAGCCAAGTGTGAGCCCCACAGATTTGTCAGTTCTCCAAATAAACAAGCAAAGTTCACCCTTTGTTCGCCATGGAGTGGCCAGGCTGAGGATGTGCTTCCAGTGGAAAGGCCTGACAACGCCTCTAGTTTGACGATGGGGCAGATCCCCTGGAAGATCCCAGCCACTCCTCCCGCAAGTCGTCGCCCTTGAGACCTCGAGTTGATCAGACCGATCAGACCTCGCTGAGACATGTGAGATGTTGTGATCATACAGGAATGCATGTTCAAAGTTGGTCTAGCTGCCTTCTGAGGGGTAATCAGTGGAGCAAGATGGTTTTATGATGTTTTATGTTGGTTTTAATGCCAAGGTTGTTCAGCTGGTGCTTCGACGTGCATTGCCTCGCGAATGGGTACACTTTCGGCAATGGCACTACAAGGAGCCTGGCAGAAAACAGTTGACAGATGGAGGTCTTTACGAACATCGGGGGTCAAAACCTTTGCCGCCATGTGTGGGATGAACATGACGGAGTTCGTGCTGTTTGGACCGAAAATCGATAAGGACAAGTCGCTCATGCAAATGTCGGCGTGCTTCGTGGGGGTCATCGCCGGCCGGCCATGCGTCTTCACTGCCTTGGTCACCGAGAGCCACAACTGGATCCAGCGATCTTGTCGAAAAGGCGCGACAAAAACTGGAGGACCAGCTTTTTACTGATGTGTTCGACATGTGTTCACAAAATACGCTTCACAGTTTGCTTTGTAACAACCTAGTTTTGAACCAATCCCGGAAATCCCTGCGATAGTTCGCAATTATTACAGATAGAGAGCTTATCGTTTTTTGTATATAGATGCTCGTTTGATCTTTTTCAGCATGTGATGTGTACTTCAAACACGAAAAAAACATTGAGAAAAACATGTGGGTAAGGGCACGCCAAAACCCGAGCTAGCCGGCCCAACAGATGCTTTACATTTACATAAAAGACATGAAATAAGTCATTTGGACAGGTGACAAGCTCGGCTGTTCCCAATCAAAGTCATGACAATGTCAATGTTGCCAATGTCGAAGACCCGAATCGCTATGTGCAGAGTTTCTCTGTTGAGAAACATAATCATAACGCATACAAGCTTGCATACACACAATACCTCTGAGACATGACTGCACCCGGCGAGTGCACTCTGACCGGAGGGCCATGGTCATTCACGATGGTGGTTGAAAACGAGCTGAACAAATGTGTTCAATGCTTGGACAGATTCCCCAAGCTACCAGAGGAATGAACAAGCGCTTATGCTCAAAGATCATGTCGCTCATCCTCGTATAAGAACAACAATAGATCGGGATGACTCCTCCAAATCCCAACCCCCCAATGGGCAGTACTCACTGCCCCCAGCCTTGCGCGATGCGGTCACCGTCGCAGAAAACCGCGACTGACCAGACCGGACGGCCTGGGAGGCGTTGATGGACACCCGACGTGCCAAGGGTGGAACCAGGCGCGGCGGTGCTGGCAAAGGAGGAACGCAACGACATGTTCTTGGCAAGAAAATCATCATCTAAATAAATAAATATACAATAATAAATATATATATATATAATATATTTATAGATCTAAACGGTTTGAAGACATTGAATACCAGATACATTGTGACTGGAGAGCACACGAACCATTGCAATATGAATGTATATATAGAGATGTGTGGTAATTATATATATATATATTTTTATTGCTTATTATATACTATTATAATCGTTATAGTTTCTGTGTGTTTTTTGCATTTACTGTTATAACCTCTACCTGGGATGATTGCACGGGCTGACTTACATGTTTCAAGTGAGTTGGTTGAAATGCCCAGATAGATGACATATCATACCTGTACATATACAGTATATATATATATATATATTTACACAACTATACACAGTGACATTGTTTTCGTTTGTTGGTTTCTCATGCGTGCTTGCTGGTTTTCATTGTTTTTTTTGCCTTTTCGGAGGGTCGACGGCGATCCTCAGGTCGGCTATCCCCAGTGCTTCCTCAAGCAGAGTCATCGCCGACTCTTTCGAGAACACCGCACCGTGGTGCTTCCAGATTTCCAAGGAACTGGCACCTTGGTGTGAAGACCAGACATGGTTGACGGTTTTTGTTGCCATTATTATGTAACACAGATTTGCTTCAAGAGGCTTAGACTGAGCAGAGTGGCATTTTGTATTGCACACCCGTTAACGGTGCAAATCATCATATTTGATGCAATGTAACAATGCAACATTTCATGCTTTTCATATAAGCCTTTTGAGAAGCAAGGATTTTGGGACGCTCATCCAGGAGCAAGTATATAACTGAAAAGACTTATGGTGCCGCTGTGGTTTTACGGAGCCGGCAAACGTATCCCTTTATACCAGGAATTTTGACCGGGTGTGAAACCACACCAATAGAATTGAATCGAATTGGTGTACTCAATATTTCTGCAACATCACCTTTCAGTGGATCTATCCCCGGCCGGACTGGCTCCACAAGCACCCCCCCGGCCCGGTGTCCGTCTTGGGGAAGCTGCCTGTCCCAGGTGTCGCCGGTTTGGTGAGCGATTCCCTCGCGCTCTACTTCCAAGACATCGGGATGGATGTGACCTCGCAGACCGTGCACCCATTCTACGGCTCCTTCAGGTGGGGGGCATCAACGGCCAAGGAGACCAGAAGGTCGATCAACAGCGAAAGAGGTCAGTCACGAAAGGTAGCTTGAGCTACCTGAGTTCTCCTTGCTTTAGCAAAAATGTATTACAATCAGGAGTTGGGATTGTGCATTGAGTTTGGTCCTGTAAGAGTTGATTCTGTTCGTCGGGGGGGGGGGGGGCCCCCCCTCCCTGGATCAAATCCCCCCTGCGCCGGTTCACGCCGTCATGGACTTTTACCAGGGTTGCTTGTGATTGCCTGCTACCTTTCGTTCACCCCCTCCTCTCTCAAGTTTGCTTGGCCAGGACTGCAACAACAAACTATCGAGGTGGTGGGTGATGTGTTGGAAACAAACACCTGTAAGCCCAGACGGTGCCTGCGGCCTCCACGTCCGGTCTCGCGACATGCGATCGCCATCCCTGTCAGGGACCGGTCGCCGTTCTGGAGGCCTCTTCCTACCAACCGTATGGAGAAGAGTGTGGCTCAGCCTGGAATCTGTGATGTGATCGGTGGGACAGGTGCTTTGAGATGGCGATGCTAGAATGTCATGCAGTTAAAAGACATGACAAGGGACACCATATACCCCAATACGCTAGGCTAGGCAGCCTGCACAACAATTTATATACGTGCAAAACTTATGCCCATTTGTGCAGTGCTGTGCAGGTCTCCACATTAGATGGAATATAGACTTGCAAGAAAGGAGAAGTGAGTCTTTGCTGCCCAGGGTCTGAAGGGCAACTTGAAGTATTCCCACGCAGGGTCCTCAGACTTCTCAAGTTTTTGGCCGTGAGCAGTCTTGAGAAGTGGAGCGACATGTTTCCCCGACAGCCTTGCCCATGTGTTGATGCATGGTTTTTGCGCTTTTTTTGCGGCATCTATGGTGTGCTTACGGCAAGTAACCTGAATTCAACAACAACACTTTCAACAATTACCGCAATGTTCGCTACGAACGGGGCTGGCATCGCTACGAACGGAGCGATCGGACGCTTCGTGGGTTTCGGAGCTTTTGATTCGGCCGATCGATCTCCGAGGTGTTCGTTGGAGCTTATCGGCCTGATGGCACGAAGGATGAAGCGCGTGAGCAACAGCTCAGGACGGAAGCAAATGGAAGCAACACATAGCAGCGCGGCCTCATGACCAAATATGGGGAGAAGAAAGAAGTTTGTACATGTGTTTGTTGTTTTCTTCTCCATGTGAAGCCCACACACACAATTTGACATGATATTGGTTGAAGATGGTTGAAGTTTGAACGTCATGGCTCAAAAAGACAACCCGTGACATGGTTCGAATTCGGACTCAAGGAAGATGGTGTGAAGATTCTTGCGACTCCTTGCATTGCCGAAAGGAACGTGTTATGTTTGGCCTTTGGCTTTCTTGCTGGTAAAGCTTTCATAGAGGGACTCTACATGAGTAAGTGTAAATAAGTGGAAGTAGATTGAGCACTTGCTCAAGGACACGACGTTTGGCTGCCCAGACGGTGTCTCACGGGTTCAACCTTTGGTAAATATGCCAAAACCAGTTCAGGGTCAGATCATGTCAGACCTTCGATAGACTGTTCTGCTCACTTGGATGTTGACCCGGGCCAACTATTCGAGAAACATCCCCAGCGGCCGCATCGCATCCGCATGCAGCCAGGAGTCGGGTGTCCATCACCATGAATCAAAGCGCTGCCATCACCTCAGCAGACGGAATGACTGATAGTTGCCGGTGGAATGCTTTGATTCAGCACTTTCAAGATCATGTTTAATCTAAATCTATGTTTACTTGCATGCAGGAAGCTCAGGAAGACACGTACATATTCCATACATGGAGTCTATGAACTTTGTCCCATCATTGCTGGACCCTATATGACTATAAACATTGTGGCGGAATTCTCTCAGAGATCAAGGTAAATAAATTTGTGCAACATTCTTCGCACAAAATCCACCAGCGTCAATTGTTTGGAGATCGCTCGAAGCTCCATCGTGAGGTCCTGCAAGACGAAGAAGTCCCTGAACTGTCTTGAGACGCGAGCAGCGAAGAAGAAGAGGCTGGGGGCCCCCCTGCTCTTGGCCTGGCGGTTGACCGTGTACTAGCGAATCATTCTCTGAGTTCAACCGCCAGTCAAGGAAGGTCCATCTCTCGTAACCTCCCCACAGCTTTTGGAGGTGAACAGGCGGCCAAAAATACCATTAGAATAACTTTGCCATTCAGTTTTTAATGATCTGTATATTAAAGGCCAAAAATGAAAAGACTAAATTACAAAAAATGAATTGCAAATAATTCATGACCTTCATTCTAATATTATAAGCTATATCTGGGAGCAGCCATTCTCTCTGCTTTTCTTGGTTATCTACAGCATTTAGTTTATGGGCTGGCCACAGAATAAATATCATAACGGTGGACCAATAATATCCTACATCATTTATTTATTTGTGTTTATGGGCGATTATTTGTCATGGGTTTTCTTAATAATAATCGCCAATAAGAAATACATATGATGAGGATATGATTTTAATATGATGGAACCCACTAGCAAAAATTAATGCATTAAAAATTTGGGTTCCATCACCAATAAAGATAAAAGACAAGGAAATGATGGGCGTGTTATTCTTTTTTTTAATGATATCTTTAAATTAGCAAGCCCATAGAATAAATATAACGTGAACAGGAAATTTAAGGTGAACTAGCCTATAGCCCCACCAATATATGAATTAAAATTGGTGGATGTGATCACTTGTAAATACAGAAGAACGAACAGAAAACAATATATAGCCTTCATTCTAATAGAGAAAGCACATAATAAATCCAATCCTTATAATTCATTTCAAGGGTTAACCGATGGGGCACAGTGGCTCGCCTGGGATTCCTTGGGCCCCTTCTTGGATCTGGGGCCCCCCTGCTCTTGGCCTGGCGGTTGACCGTGTACTAGCGAATCATTCTCTGAGTTCAACCGGCAGTCAAGGAAGGTCCAACATTCCCCTAGACGCGAGCAGCATTACACGCACTGAAAGAATCATGGTTGCGTGGGTGGCATGGCCCCGAAAGGATGTCCACACACATTGAACTCCACATCCACATCCATTGATGTGTCAGGGAGTGTAAATTAGATGCCAGTTGCGTCGGCCACTCACTGTGGCCCTATACTGGGCCAGATTTCTCCTCATCGAAAATCGGAAGCCCAGAAAGGTCCGCACCTGACTATGTCTTCCGCACAGATCAGCTTCCAAAGGAGCTCCCATAAAGCAAAAATTCACATGATGCAAACTTAAGTTTCACGGAATATAGTAAAATAACATGAAGAGTACAGTAGTGGTGTTTCAAGATCGCCCCAGCCTCCACTTATGCTACAGACCTAAGTCATTTCAGAAAAGTCGGACTAGAGTCAAGCTCAACAGGGTCTTTTTTCCCCGTAGGGACAGTGGGAATCTCGTTTCATGAATGAGCCGTAGCATGCCGAAGCCATGTTCATCGACAAATGGGCATGGGCCCATCCGGGATGGGTCTTTTCACCTGGAGCCCTGGTCCACCATGTAGCTTGACCACCCAGGTACTGATAGGTCAAGCAAGGTATTCTGGTATTAACCCATCACAGATGCCAAAAGCCAAATAATCACAAAATACAATAGCTTTACGATGACCTATGCAGCTGGTAGTTGCAACAAGAACTAGGATGATGTCAGATCTATGATCTATGTTGTCGGAAATTGCTGAGGTCCAATCCGTCCAGCAACGAACTCGCAACCGAGGCCGCGAGACCGTTCAAGGTGGGCGCTATCTGAGCCTCTTGGGGGGGGGCGCAAGGTCATGGGGTGAATCTTGTGCACGCAACAATCTGGCCGAGCTGCCGTGAGCAGCGGCCCAGATGTTTCCGATGCTTCCGGCTGCGCAGCCGATGCAAAGAAGGGGGGCTTGTCTAATTTCTTGCTTTGCTATAACTTGTTAAATAGTGTATACTATAGCGTATATATATACACATATTATATATCTTTGGCATGTGGCGCTCCCCCACCATGAGCTGGGGTTGGCAGATCCATGGTATTTGGTGGTATTATGTTATAGGATGATCATTATGTGCGAGGTTGGTGCGGCAAGAACATGCTCCGGGTCCAGTGGATGGTGATTTGGCTCAAGGCTGAGCTGGGTTATTTGACCCGTGTGGCCGGGACCCTCATCATGGATATGTTGCCGGAAGAGCTTGTGGGTGACATTGCAGCGAGCTCCTGGATGGCCAACTGAGTCTCCAGCGCATCCTGCAGACTAGGCAGACTGAGCACGAACGAATGCACTCGTTCGGACCTCTCAGAATGTGGGTCCGCACCTTGGGATTACTTTGACAGAGGCTTTTGAAGCACGACCTTCTCAGCGATCTGAGTGCAGCTGGTCCTGGACACTGCTAGATGGCTCCTTTCGCCGGAGAAGATGGGAATTCAATGAACGGCAGTTGCCCAGGCATGGTGGAAGGCCGATTCCTTGGTTGACAGTCCACAAATGCAGTTTCCTAGGATGTTCATGGGCCGGCTTGGTGACAAGATGTGACAACCCAGAGGCTCAGAGGTGAAATGCGCATGTGAAGCGGGAAGACACCAATGCGGAGAAGTACTCGAAACTTGGAACCTGAGTCTCCGCGGGCCATCAGGGCAGGTGGAAGGCTTTGGAGCATCAGCCCTGCTCCTGGCGGCATGACAGGCAGCATAGGGCCTGCTTGCCCCTACCAGCTCCTGGTACGCTTGGACGCCGCGCGGCAAGCATTGATTGTCTGTGGGTATGTATATAATATGTGCTGTTGACGCAGATCAGCTTTTGAGTTGGAGGCCCGACACGGAGATCCGGGGACTTCAGGTCGCTTTGGTCGAGGCCGCATTCAGCCGCCCAAAAGCCGCCGAAGACAAGGTCGAGGCCAACACGGCCAACGGCCAGCACGCTTTACGCAGTCCACCGGCTTTGCTTCAAAGCCTCCACCGGGTGCCACCGGTGGTCCACCAGGTGCCATCGGTTTTTGGTCGCCGGCGGTGCCGGGCGCGAATGAAAAAGGGCCTTCTCGCCCCAATGGAGGGCCTTGCCGGTGGCGTGAGGTCGCTGGCCCATTGTGCAGGGGAATGCGCCTTGCAAGTTTCACTTTGGAATGACGAAGGCAGCAGGAGAGAGATATAGAGAGAGAAGGAGGAGGGAAAGAGAGGAAGATAGATAAAGACGGATAGAGACTGACTATAGCAACTGCATTTTTTGCATGGCCAGTTCCTCCGCTTTCGGACGGGTTCGGCTCAGATGCTCTCTCCATTGGATGGTCTGATGATGGGTCCCTTTGCCCTTTGCCAAACTCGGTTGCATGACGCGACATGACGTCATAAGAAAGTCTTTTCTTGTGATTGATTCTAGAAGGGTACAATATGTAAATAAATAAATATATATATATATATGATATGTAAATGATCTAAACGATTGTGATACGTTGATGCAATCATGAATATCATGAGACAAGGACAATGGAAGTTTTGGTAAATAGCACGACTCTAAGGATAGTGTTTGAAACTTTGTCAATGCTAAAGTTGTGGGTTATGTGATGTTGATTGGTTGGCAGTCTCCATGGATTTGTTGTTGCATTTCTCTTGGTTGCCCATTTAAACGTAAGATGTTGGCATGGACCCTTTGTGAAGCCTGATGCACCCAGCCTCCAATGGCTGCTCATAATGGAGCTCTGTGGGCCTTGTGTAGCCTCTTAGCTGAAGATCTTGGGTGGTTTGGAATCGATGTGGAATTGAGCCGAGTGCAACATCCTTCTGCCCCAACTGTGGCCAGCACCGCCAACAACAACCAAGGTGTTTATATAGTTTGTTCTTCCAATGAGTGGGCGTGCATTGGAGCAGACCGTTGGGCCCTCGCAAAACCCAACGTCCACGTAAATTGTCGCACTCCGGACTCAGTCCGACGTGAGCGATTTTGTGGCTCCGTGGCGCCAATCTTTGTCAAAACCCCTTTGTCAATGCTGCATGATATGTCCTATCATTTCCTCAAGGGCTCAATTACTATATGCTCAATTCTGTGCATGAAGCTGTTTTGTTTTCTTTTTTTTCTTCTGGTTGCTCAGCATGTGGGGAGATCAAGGAGAGTGGATCATGGAAGGAGTACAGTCCAGTACATATCCGTCATGCTGGAGACAGCTGTTATGATATTTTACGTTCACTACTATATACGTAGTTCTCACATAATTATGTGTATGGAGGTCCTTGCACGCCCTACACTTACACGATCCATGGATGCCAAGTGGGAGGCAACCCAAGTGACATGCGGAAGATGGATCGTTTTTTTGGCCTTATGAGGCCTTGCTCCACCGACGTCCATGGCTTTGGGGCTTGGGCTCTCAGGGTGACGAAGCCTTCAGTTGCGGAAAGACAGGCACACTCTACACCCGGTGTTCATGAGGCCCGATTGAGTGTGACTTCATGACTCAAATCTCTATTGTGAAGATGGGATGTTAGAGGATGCATTCTACGCAGTTTTGCCAACATTATTTCGGCCAGTTCAGACTCTCAGCTGGTATTTTCGAGACGAGATTTCTTGAGCCTCCATGTTTTGCGGGAAATCATGGGAATGGACAGCTTCACAAATCTTCAAGCTTAAGATCGTTTCCAAGCGACGCACCCAAGTTAGAAACAGATCAACCCACACTGGCAGGGTTTGAATGAAGTGCCTTTCCTGCCCAAGACCGGTCCTGAAGTCGTTCGATTTCGCTTCACCGATGAGGTTTGATTATCCCGACCTCAGCCTTCATGGCTTTGATCTTTTGCGATGCATTTGGTTTGCCGCTTCCTCGGTCGTTCACTGCTTTTTGTGGGGTAAAGCATATGAAACATCTTTGGAAACTACAGTATGGATTTGCTTTTCCTTTCACAACTGCCAACTCCAAACTCTGTATGGCCTTGGCACGCCCTTGTTCAAGCTAAGGTACTCACAGTACTTGGTATCGTGCCTTGGCTGGCTCCAGAAGAGCTCGTGCTGTTTTTAACGCTAGGCCACTAGGTGTTAATGCTGGGAGACTTAATGTTTATATCAGGACAAGTCTTGTTGACGTAGTATGGGTGTGCAGTCGAATAGGCCACTGAACGCCACTTCGACGGCACGGGCCACCACCCCCAAGGCAGTCTGGAGAGGTGGGTGTGCCGAGTTGTCACATTCGTCGACGCGAGACGGAGGAAAACTGCGAGACAAACTTCCAGACTCTGAACGTGTCGAGCTGTGCACTGTAGTGTGTTCCATCATATGCAGCCTCCTGTGGAGTGATTTGCATCATTTATGGCCCTGTACATCCATAGAATTATGCCGTGTTTGTGAGGCTTGCATTCCCAAAAGTGCACTGAACAGAGGCCCTCCTCCCTCCAGCCATGCGTGAAGCTCAGATTTGTGCTGGACATTCGGAAGTGAAACCGGTTCAACATGAAGCTGGAGCTGTTTTAAGGGCCTATGAATTTCCACTGTGTTGCCTCGAGATGTTATTTTAGCTAATTTTAGCTACTTTACTATATATATTGGTCTTTTGGTGGGTTCCAACTCATCGCGGCGCGTTATCAGGTCCGAAGAGGTCGATGTAATGACCACAGAAACGGAGACGACGAGTCCGGCCGGCGAGGCCGGCGACACTGGTCGTTTGTTGGGTGTAGTTTTTGCAAGACATGGGAGCCAAAGACTCAAGACCATGGTTTTGGTGTGATCGGCATAGCTGGATCATGGGTGACTGGCTCAAGTGTTTACCATGTAAATGTTCGCATGCTTAGCATGTATACATACATTTAGACAGTAGATCACCCCGCAAGCCTGATGGTCCATGCACTGATGGCCTCAGATCTTTGAATCAATCTATGACTGATCATGTGTTGGATGTGGATGATGATTGCTTTGTTTGGGCATGTGCTGGTATCTATCTTTCTGAGCTTTGGGCTCGAGCATGACACGGGCCTAGCGCGCCATGGGCACAAAGCAGCGAAAGGCCGCCTTGGCAGCTAGACAGGGGTGCACTCTGACTGACTCATCTGACTCACTAGCATGGTGGATTGCTTGGTCCCGACGAACAGACACGGTCATTTCCACTTCCATGTTAGTGAAGTGATGTGAAGACTGTGAAGTGTAAGTTGGGGACCTAGCGACTGGCCTTGCTGGCCAACCTCCACTTCAACTGACCATTTTTAGCGATTTCTCATCGCTTTTCCACCGCAGGCGCAGCGAAAGAGGCAGGTTGGCCTTCACGCCAAACGGCTGAGTGAACATGACAGCCGGACCAAGGCAGCTGCGACTTTGGGCCGCACCCCGTTCGTAGCGTCCGAATCGCTCCGTTCGTAGCGATGCCAGGAGCCCCGAAGGCTAGCGTTCTTGTTCCTAGTAAGGCCAGGAGCCCCCAGTTCCTAGCATTGGTTTGGGCCAGATCTCTGGCGAAGAACGCTAGCCTAAGTGGTACTAAGTGGTTGGGGCCGACTTCACGCTGGACGGAGTGGAGGGTGCTGGTAGTCACTAGCATCTAACAGCTCAAGCCGTGTGGCTTTTCACAGCGGAGATGACATTGGATAAGCCATATGAAGCCACATATATAGTTCTGAGCATGTTGCATCATTTGTACAGGCTTTACTGTCCTGAAACTATTCTGCAGCATGGCTGTTTGTCAAAACCTGGGGGGCCATGAAATGGTTGACCACCGAACATGAACCAGAATAGATGACCAGCCACGTCAATCTAGAGTTTGGAGCTCCAGGTTTTGACCCACAGCCATATGACTTGGGTATGGTTTTTGTTCATTCCTTGGGCAAAGTTGCTGGTGTCAACCGGGGTCTCGGACTCAAGATCTTATAAAGGAGCTGCAGTACCACAATTGTAGCCACTTGTAGATCAACCGAAGGAGCATGCTCGGATCTTCTGTCTTGGACCTTCGGGTTTTGACCACCCACAACGCACGTGCTCGCGTCGTGCGTCGGACATGCTGAGGAAGGCGAAGGCAACAATCAAGACGCTCGTTTGCCAAGCAAATCTTTGCAAGACCATGCAGGACCTAGAATTCTGTAAAGCGCTTCTAGAACGCCTTTTGTCGAAATTTTTCATCACAGCGGTGGTTGTATAGGCCCAGGTATATACTGCACGTGAAATATGAGCTGCTGAGGCAACAAATGGCTATGATCCGACCCGATTCGGATTCGACTGCCGAGGAAAAAGAAGAAGGACGACCAAGTCAAGGAGGCTCCTAAGGCCCACTCATCGTTGTTCTTCCAATTCAACTCGAATTTGAAGCCGCCCTATCAGCTGCCTTGGACTTAGTGTAGTGGTGATGTGCAAGAATGGATGTGATAGACGTCCGGACGCACTGCGAGAGAGTGTTGTTCAAGGTTGCTGGACACAAACTTCATCAACATGTCCATCCAAATGAAGCTTGATATTTTCAAGTCTGCGATGGAATGTTTGCTGGCAAAGTGCGTGCCGTGCATCACAGACTGCGACCTGATTGCAACGGCTGCGCAACTGCTTTGAAGAAGCATGTTTGACGGAACTGAAGGAACGGACCTCCCACGCATGTGACTGAGCATATTGCGAGAAATCTCTAAGTTAAACCCAGATTGTCAGCACTGTAAATGAGTATAGGACCTGGAAAGTGACCTGGAAGCCAGTGAAACCCAAATCAAGCTCAGTTGGATCTTGGTTGATGATTGGTTTGGGTTGGGCACGCCAAAGACTGTATAAATGGTAGCCAGCTCCATCACATTCCGGAATTTGTTGGGCCATAGCCACTTGGTGTGAACCCCCATGTCCCATCCTTTGGGTGAGTTCTGGGGTGGCTACCCAAGCCAAAGCCTGGGCCACCACATGCAACCACGTGAGTCATGAGGTGTGTACGGCGAGCTAGAGAAGCTGGGCACTCGCCACCGCTTGGCCTTACGCTTGGCGAAAGACCCGCGTGGCTTGGCTTCCAGCATGGGCATTTTGTCGCGCCAAAACACCCCTCATTCTGTTTGGGGTGCTGATGTTGGGTGCTGAGACCATATGTTATCATATGTTGTTTCTTATGTGCTATTGTCGTTTTCTTCTTGTGTGTGTTTGTGTGTGTGTGTCGTCTTAAGGCCGGGGGAGTAGGCCGCTATAGGAAGAGGTATAGACAAGTTATAGTGCAAGTTTTTTGTAGCCGTTAGGTACTGGACGCTCCTAGGCATGACACGGGACAGCTCGCGCTAATGGTTCCTAGAGTTTATTTGAACTAGTGACACTGACAGCTTAGTACCATTTCCCGCATTTTGGGCCTAGGGTTCAGCTGAGGCTTCCAGCGGCTCACCTGTCAGCATAAGGGCATTTATGCCGATGACTGCATCCACTCGAGGGTCGAGGCACACAGATGTTATATCGTTTGCACCAACGACAAGGACCTGAAGCGCCGAATCCGCAAGGCCGTTACCTGAGCGGCGTGAGCAAAGCGTTGGGCGTTGGTGCTGGTAACGGGCGCGGGGCTTTGCGGCGTGGTGGAACGTGGGTTTTGGGTGTTTCGGGTGGAGGTGAGTGGGGATCACAGACACTAGTAACTGTTCATTATAGTTGCAGCTAGTTGAAGCTGTAAGTGTGATGAAGTTTAAACATAGCGAGGAGTCAAGAGATAGTACCAATTTGCTATTATATGGTAAGTACTCGGACGACGCAGGTGCCAGGGGTGCCGATCATGTCAGTGGCTCGCGGCATGTTCAAAGTGGAGCGTGTTCCGGAGCAGATCGACAAGGTGCCCATCAAGCCCCTCAGCTCAGACCTTGTCAGATTGAAACCGTCTCAGCAAAAAAAAGGGTCCAAGGAAGCGGGATCAGAATCCACCTATATCCACCTTTGTTGCTGAAACATGTTTCTCCCAGAATCGAACTTGGATGACTGGATGTTGACCTGTTCGATGAACAGCTTGATGCTTGATTAGCAGAGAGCAGGCAGACGCTCAGGTCCAATTGGGGCAAGGACAAGTGAGCAGAAAGCGAGTTGGGATTGGTGGTGTGGCTGCGACTTCTAAGACGGCCCGCGGCCAAAATGCCAGTGCGCTGCGCGGCCCGCGTGCGAAGCTGTGCCTGTTCCGTGAAGGTGTGGCCTCGACCTGACGAGTCGCATAAGTTTTTGGTGGGTCTCGTGCCAATATATGCCAATATGCTAGAAATGAAGCCCACCTATGATTTCACATGATTTCACGATATTTCAAGGTTTGGTGAACCACCCCTCTAATGTTCTATTCTTGATTGAAACCCGAGCTGGTGCAGGGCAGCGTGGGAGTGTGAAGGGCATTGCCCATAGACTGGGCGGTGGCGATCGGCGATCAAAAGCACTCTGGCGTCCAGGAAGTGCGAAAGCCTGCTGAGTGCAAGGCAGGACCACAAAACAATGTGGAGAGCGATGCACATGTCGGTGACTTTCGATGATCTAATTAGCAATCTAGCTGATATCCTGGAAGATCCTTGGAAGCACTGGTATAGCACTGCATGAATGGTAGAACCCTATCGCATATGCTGCTATGCATCCTCACATCGAAACGAAGCATCCTTGGCTCGGTTCCTGCAGCAAAACACCCATCCAGTTCGCCGCTGTCACTAACCAGCTAGCCGAGGTGTTTCTTTGGCTCCAGGACTCCAGGTTGTGGTGCACATTGGACAGTTCATACTTAATAAATCTTAATAAGCTACTAGGAACAAGAGCCTTACTAGTAGTAACAAGTGCCTTACTAATAGTAACAAGAAGCTATTAGAAACAATAAATAGGTCATGATTTCCAAAGCATCAACTGCAGAGCTACGCTGAAGTAATCGATCCACTGCTGCTTTACCCGTGCCATGTGCAGATCATGGAATTTAGCAGATGCATACGTAATTCAATGTTATCCAGAACGCAACATATCAAAAACAGGCGGCTGCCGAGCCATATTTTGCAAGTTTGACTCGACCTGATTCTACCGCCCTCCACCACAGCCAGCTTGATCATGCATGAACTAAGCAAAGGGTGAGTCAAAGCTCATGACCCAATGTGATGATCTCGGTATGGCACAGGCCGGCGTCCAAGAGTAAACATTTGAGTCAGAAGATTGATCAGAACATATCAGAACTTTTTTCCGAATGGCTAAACTATTATAAAAGGCGATGGGAGAGGGAGAGAGAGAGAGAGAGAGATAGATCAGAACTTATTTGGTGAAAGTTTTGCAACATCTCAGCAGCTCTCTCACAGGAAATCTAAGCTGTAACTTTTGGGACCAGCTTTGGAGCTGGATTGGACCGCACTGACCCAACCTTCACGTGTGCAAAAGATCGATGACTGGACGATTGAGCGCCCAAAGGGTTGTTCCTATGGATCATGTTTAGCATAAACCAATGTCCTCCACTTTTTTCAACGGATCATGATCATGATTTATTAATCCCTTTACTGTATTGATTGCTTCTTACAGGCGGTAGGGTTCACGTCTTCCTGCCCAGGCTTTGCCGAGGATGCTGCTGCCGCCGCCACAACGCTGCCACTCAGACCACTGCGGTGCCGTTTGCAGATCATGTTGATCATGGGAAGGCGCTGGTGGCCACAACAACTGCACCGACTTCAGACGCGTTGTCTCGCAGTGAGTGCCGAGAGCTCATCGAAGCACAGCCCAAAGAGGAGGCGCCGCGGCGCTGCCTGACTGGGGATACTGGGTTATTTTTACTAGTGGATGAGGAGAGAGGGAATGAGAATGTCAGTCCCGACCGTGACCTCCATGCCGGAGAATCTTAACCCACAGCAGAACAGAATAATATCTTTAACATCAGGGTAACGAGTCGCAGTGCATTTTCCACGGGTTTGCAACCATGGGTCGCACTTGTTGCATCCCGTGTGCAGTGCTTGGACAAGTCCATGTCGACCTGCCGCATTTGCCTGGAGCCAGCGGACGTAGAAGACTACCAGGTGGGCCCGGGGCACCGAGTGGTGTGGCGCTGGAGAGACGATGTTCGATCGGATTCGCAGCCTTCGGCGGAAAACCATCTCGGGCGTTGAAAGAATGTGGCTCCCTGCTCCGGAGGCGCAAAGGAACACAGGGCAGAATATGCAGTGCATGCTTTGAAAGATTGCATTCTGCTTCATGTTTGACTTGCCGGAGTCTTCTGACAGACCTGCCAGAAGTTTAATTATTGACCCTACCCGGCCCTATCCACTTCTTCTTGACATAGAGAACGCTCTTCGGAGTTTCCTACCTTATGAACTTGCGGACACCTCCGCTGATAAAGAACAGCACACGTTGGGACGCGGCGCAGAAGAATTATAGATGTATATATATATATATAACTCTGCACCGTGCGAGCACATTGCCACGGCCAGGTTTGTGCCTGCCGCGGCTCGTAGCTTGGATCCGGTGTGTGGACGTGGTGGACGTGTCTACCTGTTTGGGAGATGTACCTGCAGGGAGTGTTTCAGAGAGGTTTTGGACGTCATCGTGTGCAGACTTCAGGTTTGACATGCACTGTCTATGTGCTTGACTTGCTGCATGAACATCATGTGTGAAAATTCATGCATCTGTGAAAAAACCGGCTGTGGCCAACTTGCCAAGAGTGTTTCATTGTTGCTTATTAGCTCACAATTTGCAAGTCTGTCCTTTCCTTCCAAGATGCGTCTTGGTTTGGAGATATATCGTTTGTTTGTTTGTTTGTTTTTGGGGTACCTTAGATTCGACCCGAGATTCAATGACTTGGCTGGACCAAGGCAAGGCTTTGCACATCTCCAATGCTTAGCCGATTTGGCCTCAAGCAAATGGCCATCCCTGGAGCCGTTCCCTGGTTGTTTTTGAGCTGATAGATGCCCTGATGGATGAATCGCCTGGAGAGCTGTTGACTTCTGTCAACACATATGTGCTAATGTACTCATTATTGTTCAATATTGAATCAATATTGATATAGTACATGAATAGGTTGGAGGCCATTGCTTCTAGGTTGGACGCCATCGCTATTAGGGTGGAGGCCATTTATTTGTTTAGGGCCTAGGGGTTGAACTTTCCAAGGCGCATTGGCTCCATCTCCAGGGGCAGAACTGGATGGGCGGTGAATGGAAACCTCTGAATATCATGACTAAGCAGAGGGAGCAAAGGGGAGGACAAGAAGCATGTAGTTGTTATCATGTTTGGGCTCAGGTGGCGGCAATGTCCGACCTGCAAGCAGAACTATGTCGATCATGTGCGCCTCGCCTTTCATTGAGGAGCATATCAAACCACTTCGGACCCCAAATGGGGAAGTCTCAAGCCAGGAGGCTGACAAATTCAACAGGACAACTTCGCACACCCCTAGCCCCTATAGATTTGTGTTGGCAACCGCCTTGTTTTGGTGTTCTGTTCCTTTGGAGTTGTTGGGCCTTTGCCTTTCCCAAAGAAAGTTGGCTCCCTCAAGGCATTTGGCGCTGAGTCGGGCACTTTGGGAGGTGGTGCAAGACAAGAACGGTGATGTGCAACGGGCGGCAGCGGCACAACTAGGCGGAGTGGAGACAGAGTATGGGCTGTTCAGTATAGTTCAGTATGCTTCCAAGTACTATAGGTGTCTTGTGTATGTGTGTTTCGTCACCTAGCTTCGAGAACAATTCATCTCCAATCACAACTTCGAAGCTAGTACCTTTGGTTTGAAGCTTCGAGCGTGCATTTGGAAATAGCAAGTGCAAACTTCCGCGCAATACCAGCGTACTGCACTGTGGAATCCATACCACGACTGTCTCCCGGGTCTACTGGGTCAGATTTGGAGATTCTGTCTCGTGCGGTGTCCTGTATTCTTTAAAGTTCTTTTAGTATGTCGACTCCGGGAATGATAGGTCAGATCAAGTCAGTGCCCTGACAGGGTGGTCCATGGATAGCCGCATACTTCAATGTTTACATGGCCAAATGGATGAACCAAAGTCCAGAGCATTCGTTGAAGTTTGTTAGGCTCACATGGCTCTCAGCACGCGCTCGGTAGGTTTGGCTCTTTTCGCGAACAGCCAATTTGCAGAGGCTGCCTCATTGGTGTACTCCTTACTTGCTTTTGAACATTAGTCACATTTCAGTTGACGCTGATTGAGCCTCAGACATGTCTCTCGCAGCGAGTGGACCGGGAAAAATTGGAACCCTTTCTATATTCTACTTCCATGTTGAGATGAATAGACTCCAAGTGGTAGCGACGTGGCATTTTGGCCAGGCCGCAGAAATTCATCGGAAGACTTTGGCTTCATCCTTGGAGGCTTTAGGACTCGCTTCCGGAAATCCTCTCAACATCCGACCCAAAAAGGCCTTCTCTTCATGAACATGATGAAACATGATGAAACCTCACATGGTTTTGCCACCAAGTGGGGGCATGATGGGGCATGGACAAAATGTGAAAACATGCCCGACTGGGTGGGGTTCCCAAAACTCAAGTCGGCACAAGCGGGTTCGCATCCAGGATGGGAGCATGCAGATACCCTTGCTTCTGTCCCTTGTCGTGGCTGATTTGTCCCGGGCCTGGATCTCCACAGGGGAACTGGGCATGACACGCGGACACGGGGGGGGGGCAGGGCAGCTGGACTTCAAATGCACGCCTTGCTTTTGGCATTTTTTGGCTGTTTTGAACTTTGCCTTTCATTTGAGGCAAACAACCTCGCGCCGCTGGTCTTCCACGTTGGTGCAACTCCGTTTTGTAATGTTTTGTCATTTGTCCTTCAGCAGCTAAATAATGAATACGTTCCCAAATGGAACACCTTGGGGCCATGCTGATTTGGCATGCTGATCAACTGATATTAGCTGTTTTCCTTTGAGTCCCCATGGCGCCCACTGAATTCTCAATTTGGTCGCCCAGGATGGCTTTGCGAGCTGAAGGCAAGGCTTCAGAGGCGGAATTGCTCTACACTGAAGCCATGGAGGCTCCGAAAAGTTGAGCTTTTTGGCTGAGTGCAGCAAATGTATACAGGCAATCCAAGGCCCCAGAATAACCATCAGCCATGATTGTGGTTGCTCATCGGGTGTTTACTCCCAAAATCCCGGCGAGATGCCAGAGGTCATGAAGCGCGTCTTTGGACCAGTTCTTTGAACGCATCGAATATTGAATGTCCCGTGCAAGGGAATGGGAGGGGCAAAGGTTGGTGCAGTTGTGAGCGAAGCAGATCATGAAAAGAGATCCTCAATCAGTATCCACAGTCATCCTCACCGAAAGAATTGCACGAGTTGGATCTAACTGCTGCTTGTGTTTCATTCCTTTTTTGCTGCTTCATTCCTTCTGGTCGAGCGGCCCCCAAGGGTCGACCCTTGGGAATTGGTTGACGGACCTTCGACATCCTTTGACCTTGTTTTTCCAGCTTGTTGGCTGGAGCAAAGGATGCAAAAGGAGAGAGTAGCGGCCAGGCACATACAGTGAATGTAGATGGCA